GAGAGAGAAGGGAGGGAGGGAGGGAGGGAGGGAGGGAAGGAAGGAAGGAAGGAAGGAAGGAAGGAAGGAAGGAAGGAAGGAAGGAAGGAAGGTAGGTCAGTTTAGTTCTTCTGTAACTCAGACTGAGTCTTTCTTCCAGGTCCCACTCCACCTAAATTAGAGGAGCTTGGTCTCATCCCTTTTCAAATTCACTCTCCTGCTCTGTCTCTGTGACCCTAAGATTTCGAGGGGACTTTTGCAATAGCAAGAGCAAGTCTTCCTTGCTTTGATACTGTCTGTCCAAACTATCATTTGCTACTGTGTCCATTATATCCCCAGAACCCATTCTGAACCCTGGTTACCAGGTTGTTCCTTATTGCCGTGCAGCCCCTTGCTCTTCCCCTCTCTTGGCTATGTCCAATCTACTCTTAGAAACACATATTCTCACTGTTCTACCATAAATGGAGACAAAGAAAACTTTGTGCATGTCTAAAACACCACCCCCCAGAAACACCATCCGGACACTTTTTGTCCTGACTCTACCACGGATCAGAGTCCTCTTATTGATAACCCCCCACTTCCCAGGGCTTAGCCACAGTGGATGGGGTCTCACTGGTACAAGGAGCCTGGTCTTATCCCTTTTCAAATTCATTCCCTGCCCTGCCCTTCTGCCTCCCCTGAATTGGCCAACTCTTTCTCAGGCTTCATGAACAGAGCCCCTCATTGCTTATTTTACATTCTGTGTCTCCTGACACACACAAGCTTAGAATGTAGGTCCTTCCACCAAAGACCTGAACTTTAGAACCCAAAGCGCAAGACTGAACTCGAATTTCCCCTCCGCCTGCTTTCATATTCCTTCCCAAAGGCAATAAAACAGCAGATAGGTGACAGTCTGAAGACACAGGTCTAAAGGTGACTGACTGGACTGGGAATGGGGGAAGAGAAACTCAGCCACTGTTTCCTGTTGGAGGCCATCCAGAGATTGCTGTCCCTCCTTTCATTCTCCTTCCAGCCCAGCACTGATTTAGCGACTCTTTTCTGCTAGCTTCTGTTTTAGTCCCATAACCCTGTGTGCATAGAGTATTTAAAGCACTTCTTGGGTGTACTGTAAATTTTAGTTTACTGATCTGTCTTAGCCAAAAGACTATAAACATCTTGAGCACACATATATGATGTAGTACCGTCGTTATCACTAGTGTATAAAACATAATCCTTGGAAAGCAGGCTCTCCCGGAAATCAATATTTCCCCTAAGTTACTCTCAGGTCAACTTCTAGTAACTGTAGAGAAACACTTGGCTTATTCCGCCATCTTTTCTTCTTCTATTCTCACTCCCATTTCTCTGCCACAATTCTGAGCCACTGTGACATAGTGAAGATTTTTAAGAGTGATAATGCAGGGCTGGCCAGATAGCTCAACAGACTAAAGTGCCTGCTTAGGCAGAGCACAGCAGCCAGGGTTTGATCCCCAGCATGTCGTGCTGGCCCCACCTCCAAGGTGTGCTGAGATGGAGATTGAGATTGCTGGCACGTGTCTGTAATCCCAGCACTTGGAAGACTGAAAACAGAAGAATCACTATGAGTCTGATCTACATAGTGAGACTCTATGGATCCTGTAGACCCTGTA